CCTGTTGAATATAATAAACTCCAAACAAATTGTTAACAATGGCATGTCAAAGCATAAACATAATTTACAATGTCAAGGACCTAGAGGTTTCATATCACATGTTATGGATTCATTCTGTCCTTGAGGAATGTTGCAAAATGTTCTTAACAACAGCCAGTTCTCTGTATTTTCAAAAATATTAATTAAGTCCCAGACAGCAAAAATAAATTCTGAACAATATTTTGCATACTATATTTGTGTGGAATTTTTTTACACTTGAGTTGATGGGTTAAAACAGGGGGTGGGGCAATGTCTCAGGACAGAAGTCCAATATGTTCCCACTGCTGTTTGATGTTTACCAGAGGGGATTAGGTTGCGGATATAGATTGTGCTTACTGGGGAAACAGGCAGACAACTGAGTCTGTTAAGGAACCAAATCATACATATTTTCTGGCGGTATTTTCAATTTTTCTCCTTTAGTTCGGTCACAGCTGGAGTCCTTGTGTCAAATTCTGGGTGCAATATGTCAGGAAGGATGTCAAGATCACAGAGAGGGTAGAGGAAGATTTATTAGGTCTCTAGCATGAATGCAAGACATGACTTCAGTTACCTGTAGAAATTGAGGTTGTTAGCCTTACAGCATAGGTTGTGAAGAGAAGATTTAATAGAGGTTATTCCTGGTCACTTGGAGACATTCTTATGATTGTGCCACAGGAGAGGAAGCCCAGGGGTTGCTGTGAGCCAATGGAGGCATGACCCTGATTGAAACTCATTTTAAAATATGAGGTAAGCATTGCAAAACAGCAATGAGAATTAACTGATGTTTTACTCCAACATTGCATTCTGCAGTGAGGCCTGCCAGTCAAGTTTATATATCTGACTTTTCAGTAACATAACAATGATCTAATATAGCAGTCATAGAGTCCTAGAATAGTTACAGCACAGGAGAAGACCACTTGCCCCATCATGACCATGTCAGTTCTTCACAAGAGCAGTTCATCAAACTCTTCAAAATTATGAAAGACTTTTTTGGTGCAAGGAGAAACAGTTTATACTGACAAATGAGTCAATAACCAGAACACATATATTAAAAATTAATGACAAAAGAACCAGAGGCAGGGTGATTGTTTTATTCTTCGGTTGTTTGATCAGGAATGTACTGCTTGCAAGGGTAATGGAAGAAGATTCAATACTAACTGAAAGAAAATTGAAGGGGTACTTGAAGGGGTAGACAATTACAGTACTATGATGCAAAGCTATGGAATGGGACTAATTGGATATTTTGTTTAAAGAACCAGCATAGATATAATGGGCTGAATGAAATCAATCCATGCTCCAGTTTCTGTGATCAAATAAATTTTCCTCTATACACAATACATCCTGGAATCAAAGTAATTCCTTTGAAAACCTGTTTAATGTCACTGAAATGAATCTTGTATGATTTTGCTTCCACCATTGTGTCTTCCTTCTGACAGCTATCTCAGTCATTCTCTAGCACCCAAAATATACTTGATATAATATAAATGCATAACTTTGTACATAGAGTACAAAAATATTTGGAGTTTAAACAATCAAGGAAGTTTCATTAATTAAACAAATCCTACGAGCTCACTTATTTCTTCCTCAATCAGCATCTCCCCCATTCTGAAATATTTGCTACTTTCTCGTCTGGTGAAAGCTTTCCTGAATCTAGGAAATTTTAGAAATTTAACATAAATGTATCTGCTACCGCATTATCCACCTTTTTTTTAAGATCCCAGGATGAAGCCCATCTTGACCTGGAACCTTAACAGTCCAGACTACCTAATTTGCTCCCATTCCCCTTTATAATCATAATCATAGAATCCTCCACTGTGTGGAAACAGGCCCTTCGGCCAACAAGTCCACATCAACCCTCAGAACATCCCACCCAGACCTATACCCCTATAACCACCTAATCTACACATCCCTGAACACTTGAAAATGCACTTGTCCCACATCAGCCTTTGAGTTTTGCACTCTTTTCTAATTTTATGTACCTTATGTCAAAATGCGCACAGCTCAGATAATAATCCATCGATTATTACCTTTGAGATTCCGCTTTTTAATTTAGTAACGAACTCTGTGTACTCTCTATGTAGAACCTCTTTTCTATTTCTACCTACGACATTGGTGCCTACATGGACCATGACGACTAGATCCTTCCCCTTCTACTATAAATTCTTTTCCAGCTCTGAGGACATGTCCTAAATCTTGGTGCAAGTCAGAAACACAGTTTTCTGGCTTATGCTGTGGAGAACAGTTTCAATCCCCCTCACTATACTATCATCTACAACTGCTACCACATTCCTTTGTCATCCCCACCCAATTGAATAACTTCACCATCCACTGTGCAAGCCTTATGAAAATAGGTTGAGAGAATCTCAAACCTATTGGGCAATGCCTTTCCTGCATGTCTACCTCTGTCCCATATTGGGGAGGTGATGGTCTAATGGTATTATGGCTAGACTATTAATCCAGAGACCCAGATAATGTTCTGGGGACGCAGGTTCGAATCCCACCATGGCAGATGGTGGAATTTGAATTCCATAAAAAACATCTGGAATTAAGAATCTAATGATGACCATGAATCCATTGTCGATTGTTGGGAAAACCCATCTGGTTCATTAATGTCCTTTAGGGAAGGAAACTGCAATGCTTACCTGGTCTGGCCTACATGTGACTGCAGACACACAGCAATGTGGTTGACTCTTAACTGCTCTCTGGGCAATTAGGGATGGGCAATAAATGCTGCCTAGCCAGCGATGCCCTCATCCCATGGACGAATAAAAAACAATCTGCATCCTGCTCACTGAATAAATCAGGACCCTACTGAAGTCGTGTGTCTGCCTACTGGTATAAAGAATCCTGGTAACCTTTCTCCTTCCTGACATGTTGCAGTATCTATAATTCAGCCTCCAGTTCAAAACTGAATCAAAGCCATCTGAACTTAAAAGACTTACCAATGATGTATTTACCCTAAGCCATAGGGGTTTCCAGGAGCTCCAATATTCTACTGCCCTGACATGTCACCTCAGCTGTCATTCTTTGTGAGTTTTAATTATTTAATTACACTATTCACTTACTTACATTGCCTTTTATATAGTTAACTTCACCATCAATTTGTATACTATGTCAAAATTTAACAGTACAAAAGATCATAACCACTTACCAAGCGTTTTCTATATTGTGCACAAGAAGCAATTCCAATCATCTCCGTTGGATCTAGCTGCCTCTGACCTCCTGCTTCAGGGTCCTCGTCTAGCCTGTGTCTCTTACATAAGATACTGGGGTGGGGTGGTGGAGAGGGGGTTGTGGGTAGTGGTGGTGTTGCTGGTGCTTGACAGGGTAGGCATTTCACTTCATAGGAGAAATCTAGGACTTGGAAGTAAAGTTCAAAATAAGGGGTCTCTGTTTTATCAAGTGATGAGAAGGAGGTTTATCTTTCTTCCAGACGGTCATGGATTGTAATTCTCTACACCAGAGGGGAGCGGAGTCTGCATCACAGCATGTATTCAAGGTGTGGTTGGACAGATTTTTAATCAACAAGGCAGTCAGGGGTTATGGGGCATAAACAGCAAAGTGGAGTTAAGGCTACAATTAGATCAGGCAAGAACCTACTGAGTGGTGGAGTAACCTTGGGCGTCCAATTGGTCCACTGTGTCCCCAGTTTCTGATGTTTTGTTAAATCTGCTTTTAGCTAGCTTTTTATTCATCCATGGGATGTGGATGCCACAAGCTGGGCCGGCATTTATTGTCCATCCCTAATTGCCCAGAGGGCAGTTGAGTCAACACATTGCTGTGGGTCTGGAGTCACATGTAGGCCAGACCATGTAAGGATGTCCCTAAAGGACATTAGGGTTTTCCTGACAATTGACGATGGCTTCATGGTCATCATTAGACTCTTATTTCCAGATTATAATGGATTTTGTCATGGCAGGATTTGGTCACAGGTCTCCAGAGCGTTACCTGAATCTCTGGATTAATAGTCTAGCAATAATACTGTAGTGACTGTAACAAGGTCAGCCAGGTGGACATCACAGAATATGAGTTCCCTGATTGGAGCTGTTAATCTGGTCGAATCAGGGAGCCCTGGCTGACAGATAAGAACAAACGTGTTAAACATCCTGTTCACTCTGAGAGCTGGTTCTGACGGAGCTGGATCAGTGTCAAGGACCCTCCACATGTAAATAAATGGTGACTTGTTGATGGGATACTGGCCTCTGTGGAGCTATTTCATATACCACTAGGCCACCATCTACCGTTTTGGCTAGTTGTAGCAACACTTTAAACACTAGCTGTTCTATGTGTTAAATGACATACCGGTATGTGTTCTTTTCAGAAAACTTTGTGATGACCTGTGAAAAATTATAGAATACAGGACAACGCAGTCTGATGAACTGGCACCACATCCAGTTCTGATGCACAGTGGTAGCAGTATGTACCATCCACTAATTGTAAAGCAGTAACTCACCACGCCTTCTTTGATAATACCTTCCAAAAACCGTCTTGACGGGCAGGAGGAGCTGAGGAACACTCCCACTCCAGTTACAATGTTAGTTCAATATTAGTTTCAATATTAGTTCGTAGATGTTCAGCCAAAAACTTGGAATTTCTTTCCCTAGCAGTACCTGCTGCAGGTGCACCTACAACACATGGAATGGATTGGTTCAAGAAGGCAGTTTGCCACCACCCTCTCAAGGCTCAGTTATGGATGGGCAACAAATGCTGCTTGTGACAGTGATGCTCAGGCCCCATATACAAGTAAAAAAATGTTGTTCACCCTTTAAAGTCAATCAAACTCAAGATTAGTCCATTTAAATCTTAATAGAGTATTTATTTTACCTCCAGCACTGGAATGAAATTCATCATTTATACAATTTGAAAAGTGTAAACCTCAAGAAGTCTTAATTTTTTAAAAAATTTAACTTTAAAATTATATTTATATGGATTAATGCCAGTTCAGTTTGAAAAATTGCAAGCGATTTAAACTACAGGAGTAATTTTGCATGAAAGAATAGCATTTTATTTGTTCCTGTCAATGTATTACACATTTTCTCAAATATCAATTGATGACAAGTATAAAAATTTCAGTTCTACAAAATCAATCAGAATTTTTATATTAAACTATTTATTATCGTCCTCCATAGTCGGCAAGAGTTTCAGGCAAGAGCAATCTCAGACCGCAGACGGTTCTCCACACTTCGACGAATCTCTTTTGGCCTAGTTGAAAGAACAGTATTTTATCAAACTGGGCATCAGCAAATAGTAGTTTAACAGCAATCAACAATTTTGGAAATCTAATTTCACATGTAGTTCGTATGCAATTACTGGACCTAAGTTTCACTTTACATGAGTAAAGAGATCACGGTGGATGGGCAGCTAAAATAGTAGCTTCCCACTTATAACTGTGCTCCCAATAAGCTTCCACACATCAAATTTGTATCTTCCAGGGTAGCCAAAGTAAATCATGAACACATTTAAATTGGAGTCATATGACACAATTAATGTCACCCCAGCTCAACCATTTTAACTAAAACATGTATAATCCTGGTGCTGGAGCTTCCAGTAAAACCCAGCAGTTTGGTGTCTCAGAGCCACTGAAGCATTATTTCTTGGGCACTCTGCTGCAGCTAACTGAATTGCAGGGGCAAACATCTGAACAAGGTCAGAAGCAAGAATAGGCCTGTAGTGATTGGAATCAGGTTGACTACGAGATCCTTGATCGGGGTTGTTAACCTGGGCCAATCAGGAAGCCTTGGCTGACCAATATAAACAGTGGATAGGGATCTCTTCTGGGGTAGTAGTAGTGTTCTTACTCTTGGACAGAGACCTGGATTCAAGTCCCACCTGCTTCAGAGATGTATGACAACATCTCCAAATGTGTTGATTAGAAGACTAGGTTAAGTAAAAAATAAATCAGTCATTCTAAACGGCCTAATAAAATCAGGCATTAGCCTCATCTTTACATAGTTCAGGGACCTACCAATTTGAAGCCAAATAATTAGCTTCCTCGATGCTTACTTGATAGCAAAGATAAATGCTAACTAACTTTGAGGCAGAGATCTTGTTTCTAACAACAATAAGACTGAAGAGAGATATCAAAGGAGAAATGGGGAAACAGGCATTTTATTTTTAAAGAATATATAAATGGGGATTCAGAATCTCCTCAGTTCAGGGGACTGACTCTGAGCTGGCTGGCCACAGCCAGTGTACTGTGCACAAGTAAATCAAGGGTTACTTGGTGATGGGATACCGGCTTCTGTGCAGTTATTTCTGCCTACTGCCCAGAATTTCCAAATACCCCAGGAACTCTCTGACTTACCCATTGATATGTGATAGCAGTAAAAGTTAATTACCCCCATTCAAAAATACCAAACCAGAGAAAAGAAAACTGCATGTATTTGAGAGGTACTGAACTCATCACAATTTCCAGTTTCCTGCCAGTGATTTATTGGGATTCTACTTTGACCTCGGCTGGAATTTCATGAATTGTTCAGAATTTACTGGACATTTTCAGCGTGCTTGCTACAGCACAAAAGGGAAGTTATACAACTTTTTCCAGGGAAATTTTCCTGCAATTACTTTATAACTAGGTTGAGTTAGTGAATGGCACAAATTTTCCTGCAATTACTTTATAACTAGGTTCAGTTAGTGAATGGCACAAATTTAGCTCATGCCAAAGAACATGGTTAAATGTGAAGTTGTTCACTTTGGCAGAAAGCATAAAAAAGCAACATTCTACTTAAGTGGACAGAGATTGCAGAATTCGGTATTATAGATGGATCTGGGCATGCTGGTGCATCAATCACATAAAGTGGTTAGGAAAGCAAATGGAATGTTGCTGTTATTGCAGGTGGAATGGAAGATAAAACTGAGGAAGTTTTACTGCAGTTTTTTAAGGCATTGGTGAGACTATACTTTGCGTATTGTGCACAGTATTGGTCTCTATTTGAAAAAAGAAATCATTGCTTTATAAGCAGTTTAAAGATGGTTCACTGTGACTCATTCCTGGAATGAAGGGCTTATTTTATGAAGAACAGGATTAGGTTGTGTCTATCCCTATTGGAATTTAGAAGAATGTTAGCTGATCTTATTGAAACACACGAGATCTCGAGAGAATTGGAGAGAGCGGATACCTGCCGGTTGTTCCCTTTATGGAGGGAGACTAAAATTATGGAACATTGTTTGTGAATAAAAGGTCGCTCCTTTATTCCAGAGATGATTTTTTTTCTCAGAGGTGGTTAGATTGTGGAATTCTCTTTCCCAGAAAGTAGTGAAGGCTAGGTCTTTAAATTTATTTAAGGCTGACATAGACAAGAGAGCCAAGGGTTATGGATCGTAGAGAAGTATGTGGAGATGAGACCACAACCACATCAGCCATGATCATATTGAATGATGGAACAAGCTTGAAGGACCAAATAACCCATTCCTGCCCCTCGATCCTGTGTTCCTATGTTCTTACAATATCGTTGAATTACATACATTAGAGGACCTTGATGGACAAAGGCAGTAGCTGCACCAGAACACCACCTGCACGTTCCCTTCAATCCACAATAGCACCAACTCTTCACATTCACTGGTCAAAATCCTGAAATAACCCCTTGACCAGAACTGAGGGTAGGCTTACATCATCTGGGTGCCATGTTTTAGGAAGGTGTATCACCACAACTTTTTAGGTAAACCATTTAGGATTGAGATAAGGAGATGTTTTTCATCCACAGAGTGGTGAGCTTGTCAAGTCTGCTACCACAGAAAGTAGTCAAGACCAAAACATTATATAATTCCAAGAAGGAGTAGGATATAGCATTTTGGAGTTAAAGGGATCAAACAGTACAGGAGAAATTTAGGAACAGGCTATTGTATGATCATCCATGATCATAATGAATGGCACAGCAGCCTCGAGTGGCTGATTAGCCTACCCCTACACCAATTTTCTTTGTTTCTCAATTGCAGTTCGGAATGGGCAATAAATTGCCAGTAATGCTCATATCACTTGAACAATTTTAAAAAGGGGTCATGTACTCAATAATCAGTACTGTTTCATAGATTTACCTTTGGTTTGTGTTTCATCATTTGATGCTGCCTAATAAATTTTCATGTGATTGAATTACAGTTTGAATTCCAATTATTGAATTTACATAAAAGATAATTAAATGGAAGAAATATAAATTGAGGTTAAATATGTTTAAATATGGAGCAGAAATCCAAAAGGCTGTGTTATGTCCGAGGTGTAGTGGAAATCTGCTGTGCACATTATAAAGTTGTATGTTAGAACTGAATCTTCCACACTTTGGCTCAGACCCAGTTGAAGGAGCTTTGAGCCAGTATGGTCATATTATGCCATGTGATGCACAATGTAAAGTATGGAATATGGTGTTGATTGTGTAAATAACATTTCACACGGAAATCTGTGACTTCTCACCAGTTTTTTAAAGATTAAATTTTACTCTGTCTGTCTTATGCATTACACAAATAGCCTTTATTATTGTATTCCTGAATGTATGAATTTAGTTTTTATGTCAGGCATGGAAGCGGCAAATGGAACAGAGATGGCAAATGTGAGTCAGCAAGAGGAAGAGAGTCAACTTGCAATAGAGATGGTGACTGTGACAGTGTCAGTAAGCAGGAGAAAGTCAATCTTCACAGAAAGTCACCAAGCAGCTGAGAATCGCCCAGCAGGGCTGAGTCGCCCAGTGGGAGGGGCTTGTTCAGTAGGGAAGAATTAACATTGGGATGAAAGTCCATCTGTGGGAAGTCAGCAAAGTGTTCAGAGTTGGCATATTTCCTTTCTCTTTCTAAATATAGTGTATTTAAATATTCTTTTACTTACAAATATTAGAATTTTGGCATGCTCAATATTTCAACTTCAAAGATATAATGTTTAAAAGCATTATTTTTCCTGATGGGAAATGTTCCTGGAGAACATAGCAACAGCTTTTACATTGGTTATATCTTGATTTGCACAAAGTTGCTTTACATAAAGTTGCACTTTTCAAGAATGAAACTTGACAACTTTAGTCAAGGTATTATCATCTAGAGTATTTTTATGTTCATGTTTAATATGTAAACATTAAAATTAAATATCTAAGCACAATGCTGCTCTTTTTTTTGACATCTGGGATCATGTCAATAACCAAGCATTAAACTAGGGTCATACTGTGAAATGGTTTGGGAGGTGGTGAGGGGGCTGCTGATCAAGCAGGTTGCTTTGTCCTGGATGCTGTTCTTGGAGCTGCACTCATCCATGAAATTGAAGGGTATTCTCCTGACTTGTTCCTTGTAAATAAAAAACTGGCTCTGGGTTGTACGGAGGTGGATTACTTTCCATAGAATTCCTAGATTCTGAGCTGTTCCTGGAGTCATAGTAAAAAATTAGGAGTTCAACTCCAAGAACGATATATTCAGAGGGTGCCATCTTATAAGGGTCTGAGTGATTTGGGCTATGGTGAAACATAATTTTCCCTGGAGTGTGGTAGGCTCAGGGGTGACCTTGTAGAGGTTTATAAAATAATGAGGGGCATAGATAAGGTGAACAGCCAAGGTCTTTTCCCCTGGTTAATGGAGTCCCCAAAACTAGAGGGCATAGGTTCAAGGTGAGAGGGGGAAGAATTAAAAGGGACCTGAGGGACCACTTTTTCATACAGAGGGTGGTGCATATATGGAATGAGCTGCCAGAAGAAGTGGTAGAGGTGATTATAATTACAATATTTAAAAGACATTTAGACAAATACATGGGTAGGAAAGGTTTAGAGGGACATGGTCCAAATGCAGACAAATGGAACTAGTTCAGTTTAGGAAACCTGGTCGACATGGTCGAGTTGGACGAAGGGTCTGTTTCTGTGCTCTATGATTCTATGTGGCATAATCAGGTGAGAAGTTTGGCAAGCTCCACTTTGACATCGAGATCATCTTGTTTCATCGATGATGTTTTTCACAAATGGCGTGGCAAGATTCTCGCTAGGCAATGGTAATTAATGCCTTTAAACAATGCCTTGTCAATGCCACAACTTGCCTCGTTATAAAGGGAAAACTCACAGATGCTGGAAATGAATGCGGAAGATGAATCAGAAGAAGAATCATACCACTCAAAATGTAAACTCTGTGTTTCTCTCTCCACAGACACTGCCTGCTCAGCTGAGTTTCTCCAGCATTATCTATGTTTACCTCATCAATACTCAGACTTCCAACTTGGAAAACTCGCCAAGCAAGCTCGAGGTCAGCATAACTCCAAAAAGAAACCAGAGCCTGGACCTGGCAGATTCAGATTGTCGCTTGATCTGAATAAGCTCCTTGTTGGACATTGAACAACAAAATTCCACAGCATGATCCATGGGCACTAGCCAAATATATTCCTCCTCTATCTCATTGCTTTTTGGAATCAGATAACCATCATGACCATCCTTGCTCTTCCACTATGCACAGGCAGTGCACTTTGGAAACACAGACTTGCATTGTAGAGTGCACCAGCAACCAATGTTCCCTCTAAACTGCACGGATGTCTGCATGTGCGGTTGTTCCAATGTTCACACATGGTGATCGGTGTCAGCAACATTGACATTCGGTTCTGGAAGTCACTGCTGTGAATGGGCCTCAGAGGCCTGCAGCTGGATTGAAAGGCTGCAGTAAGGACACGTTATGCACAGGGACAGGTAGTCAGCTCTCAGGCTGCACCAGGCTGTATCTCAGGGATGCTCAGATGCTGTGTTAGTGCTTGTTCACTACGTGCGTACTCGTTTGCTCACAGCATCCCTGCCTTGCCTTGCCAAGAATGAAGTTACGCAACCAGTTAACATGCCTTGCTGTTGAGCAGTCCTCGGTGTAGGAGGGGCACACCTTGCTATTTTGCAATGTACTACCTCAACTTCACATCTGTACCATGTTCCAACAGTATATCTGGCAGTATATCTGCATGTGCAGCAAACAGACAGCCATGTATCCAACACTTAGGGGTGTAGTCCCCAGTCAAGTCCATTGAGGTACCCGTCAGTTAGGGAATCCTGGCACAGTAAGTCAAAAGTAACCTGCCATACTTATCAAGACCACTGAACATGGTTAGGTATCCAGTTGGGTGGTCCATTTTGTGAAGGCATACAGTAACTAAAAGGTGAAAGTGTTTTTTTTCAGACACCAAAACCTGGCTATCTTGGAAAGATTACATATATTAGCAAGGAAGAGAAATAACTTCTTGTTATGAATATATATCTTGCCTGTGTTCGCCAAAGATTTTGAAGAAAGAATCATTTTCTCCAGTAACTTTATTCTTTTCATTTCCTCTGATGCCAGTCATCCTCTTTCCTCTGTACATGGACTGATTCTCCTCAGGCAAAACTTCAGTTTTCTCGGCAACTGAATGTTCTTCTAAAGAAATCAAATTTTGAGATTAGAAAGAACATGTTTAACTAATCAAACATTCGATGTATTTTACATTCAATATCCATTAAAATGAATGCAGCAAACAGTCCTCATGTTTTAATCCTTTTAAATTTATTTGAAGAAAACACTGGCCTTAAATCTGGGAAGATGTCTGTTTCTGACCCAAGGTGAAGAGGAACTAAATAGTAGACTTTTCAATTATTCCTTTTTTGACTTCAGAATGATGGATTATTGGCATTGTGCTGGTGCAGTTTGTTCTATGCTGGATGGATGATCATTGTGAGAGAAGTTAGGCGATATTTTAAGGGGAGCTTGTTTATTATATGTTATAGCCAAAGATTTTACAATCTTGATTATTATCAAAATATGAAACAGCAGGAGACAAGAGTAAACTTTGGAACGACTGCCTGAGGAAGTGTTGTTCTACTTGAGTCAACTGATCGCTGAATACCCTGCAAGACCCATTAAGTGCTGTTCCTAACAGAGGATTGGAAATTGGCTCCATTTTCTTACCTTGACTCATTGTTTGCACCAGCACACCGAGGACACCAGGCCCTTCACTCTTCCATTCGTCCATGCCATTGGCCCCATCCTTTATCGTCTCTTGGATCCCTCTTCCCCTGTTCTATGACCCCAACTCCACTCTATTCTCCCCTCATCACTGACTGACCAATGCCAGTCTTAAGCCTCCTTATAAGCTGCCATTCTCCTGCACCCCGCTCCTCTTCAGCAGAGTTCAGCAAGAATAATAGTTGAGCTTACATACAAAGATACAAAGTCATCTGGTGCATGCCATGTTTAGGGGATTTTCATGCTACTGACTTTATCTTAAAGGTATGACAAAATTTATTAAAGGGATTATGGTAGTGATTATTCATGACATGCAAAATGAGTTGGAACCCGCCACTTAATCTCTGCAATTCAACCCACCGTCAGGAAATCAAAATTTTAGCCCCGACCTAGTCCAATCACCTTACACACTGCATTTCCTGCTCTTATAGGCCTTACACCTGCTATTCTGTCAATCGGGAAATTGTCAAATATATTTATCAGTGACATTGGGTATCTTAAGAAGTGAAAACTTTGTGAAAAATTACACTTTTATAAATGTTCCAACATCTGAAATTGAAAAGAATATATTAGTTTTTATATTTTTCCAGCACCTAATGATATTCTGAAACAGTTATTATAAATGTTGCCCTTCCTCCTAAGAATCTTGAGGTTATATTTCTGGATGATACAAATAAATAATGCGGGTAAAAATTTAATGATGTTTCCTTTCATTGTCCCAGAAGTGTGCCCAAATTATTGGTGCAACATGAAGCAAAATGAGGCAATTGAATTTCTCTGTCCAGAGATAAGGGCAGTTACGTTCGTAACTTGATTCTTGAATTTTTTTCTGGTGATTGTATCCAAGAGATTGGCTATTAGTGTTCTAAAGAAGTGTCATGTTAGACTTGAAATGTTCTTCACAGGTGTTGCCAGACCTGCTGAGTTTTATCCAACACTTTCTACTTTAATTACAAATTTCCAGCATCTGCAGTATTTTGCTTTAATTGTAGGCTGTAAGGTTGTTCCTCTTGTTTTTTGCTGGAATTCTTTTGGAACTCAGGTTTTGTTATGGCGGTAAAAATATGGCATATGCAGTAACTTGCACTCCAGTTATTTCTACAGTGTGGGTAAGACCCTTGGAATGTATCTATCTTGGAAACATTTGGAACAGAAGACAATTGCTTACTCAAGATCCAAAGGAAGGCCAACTTGCTATGAAGACCTACAATATTATCTCTGTTTTTTCATGTCACCATTCCCCTGGCCTCAGGCACCTTCGCTCAATATTACAGGTAATACAAAATGTACAGTAGCACTGTGGAGAGCAAACTTTGCATTATTTGCCTTATTGCCTAAAGGCTTTCCAAATACAACATCAAAATGTCTATGCCACAATCTTTAAAGTTGCCAGAGATCAGAAAAGTTTAATTATATATGTAGTAGAACCCTTATTTTCAGTTAAAACCAACACTGTCTCAACTACCTGAATCTTTCCACTGAACATATAATATAAAAGTGGCTGGTAAATTCATTTTCTTCTGGGACCTGAAGAAAAATTACATTGCAATGAATGTTGCATATACATCATAAAGTTCCTCATTTTGCAAGGTATGACCTGTCAGAGACTTGTAGTTCTCTGGGAGTGGTGAACTATGATACAGTACCCATATTTTGTTCTTTGCTGTTCTTCACATCCTCACGTTCTGAAAACCAATCATCAGCATAACCAAAACTTAGCAACTTTTGCATGCTAACTGGAGGTTCCTTTCTTCGGGAAAATCTGTAACTTAGTAAAATCAAATACACATGTTTTTACATTTAATTACAAATAATTACAATATAAAATATTTAACTATGACATATGTTATAAACTGGAGATCATGTGAGACTAATTTATACATGTTTCAGAGGAAATTTTGGTAGTATTTCTAAATAATCATGTAACAAAACAATAGAGATTTCAATCTATTCAACAGTATCACAAGAGAACTCAATCGTACTGTTACTTAATGTCTTGCTGGATGCAACTGAAATTCATCAATCTGCCACGAGTAATTATTTTGCATATTTATTGGGGATTAGGTGAAATTTCAAACAGAACTTTTTTGAAAGCAACTAATTCTGGTAACTGGACATTGGTCCTTATTGGCACACATGCAATGTTTAACACACACCCACACTCTCCCCCACCTCACACACACGCTCTCTCTCCCACCATCACATACACACACTCTCTCTCAAAATCCCCTTTCTCTCACACACACACACCCACCCACACCCACAGACACACATGAATCTATGGGGTGAATTTGTATTTGCAGATGCATTTTATTTTGTTCAAAAAGCACACAATTTATAGACAGTCAGTCAATGTGGTGTTTTATAAATTCCTACTTTAGAAATAAAACCAGTCTAACTCCAAACTAAAAAACAAACAGATTCTAAACAAAGCCTCACACCTAACATGCATTGTCTGACCTAAAATGTCAACTCTTCTTTACACTGATAAAACCTTCAGTTCTCTCAGAACTGTGACTTGAAAGGAATTTGGGGATTTACATATACGCATAAATCAATTAAAACCTTCTATCTGATTAAAGATTTAACAGCAACATAGGTTTGTTTAAAGTCAGAAATCACATGACACCAGGTTATAGTCCAACAGGTTTATTTGAA